TGATAAATAAACGGGTAAATGTTGAGTGGCTCTGAAATCGCATCAATACCTTTTGTTTGTAATTAAACTCCGCCGGTCCTTCAATCTCGTTCTGTTTAATAGAAGGAGATGCCGGGGTGTTCGTGCTCAACACTTAGATTAGTTTTACCTCTTCGTCGGGAACCAAACTTACTTGGATGTAGGTCAGTGGACTATACACTTGGATCGGGCTGCGTGCCATTGAATGCTATGGGACTTACTTCTGAGTCAACGTGTACCTGGAGGCTTTTTCTGTCCATTTCTTTTAATTCCCTGGCATATTTCTAAGTGAAAGAGCAATTGAAATTAAGACTTCTTTTTACTCACCCCACAGTGTATGTTTAGTGCTTAGTGATTAGGAAAACAGCGGTAGAAGCCCTGGTTTTAGGGACTCCGTATGGACTCCATGTCGTACCGCAGAACAGAAAACATGATCGCTGCTGTATGTGTCATTTCAACGGGCCCCAGACACCATTATGCGAAAGAAATATGCCAATTCCACATAAAGGTCTTAAGATACAGCATGGACCCCATCCATCAAATCACTTCCCGGGTTAGGATCGGGGCCAGCGCGCTGAAGGCCAACGTGGCAACATCCTGCGCACTTGGGACGTCAGCGGGAAGAATTGTTGAGGTCCTGAGCTTTTTGCAGAGGGCTTGGGGGGCTCCCAGATGAATAAAACCTGGGGGAGGAGGGAGGGAAAGGCTCGTGGGATCTCTCCCCACCTTTCCTCTCGTTTCGAATCATTTCAAATTACGATCGGTTTGGCTGAAGCTTTAGTTAAAGACTCCCGAATGGATTCAGTGGGTTTTCACGGCCCATTATTTAATTAAAAAAACATTTTTGGAAAAAAAGAAGAGGAAAATATATGCCTCCATGCAAATATTGTGGAGGGGCGGTGACTCCCCTCCCCCAGGCCACAGCAAGCGAACGCAGAACCCCCGGACCGGGTTGTTTGCTTTGGGGTTTGCAAACCTGGCTTGCAAACTCCCCGTCGCCGAGTTGCAGACGATCTGCAAGCAAGCGCGGCCGCTTGAAGGCTCCCCCTGGACGGGAGAGAAGGGACTCCGGGCGGAGGCCGGCTCTT